CTCTGCCACAGCTCCTGCCGCTCCCAACTCACACTCCTTTGCCCCCGATTCTCCCTACTCCCTCTCATCTACCATCTCCGGATGAAGCCCACCACCTGCTGCCTCAACCCCTTCCCCACCCAGCTGCTGGTTACGCAAATCCCCCTCCTCTCCCCGCTGCTGGCTGACGCTGACACTGTCAACCAGTCTCTCTCCTCAGGCTCTGTTCCACTCCACTCTGGGTGATCGAAAGCACGGTCGAAGAGGAGGGTCTTGAGATGGGTTTTGACGAAGAAAGGGAGGGGGAGAGGCGGAAGGACCTCGGAATGGAGTTACAGAGGATGGGGGCAGAATGGCAGAAAGCACGCCTGCCAATGGTGGGGCGAGCGAGACGGGGGAGGTGAAGCAGGCCAGAGCCCGCTGAGTGGAGGGAGCGGGCAGATGGTAGGGGATTAGGAGGTCGCAGAGGTAGGGAGGAGCGAGGCCATGGAGGGCTTTGAAGGTGAGTACCAGGATCTTGAACTGTATCCTCTATGTGATGGGAACACAGTGGAGTCGGGCGAGGATGGAGGTGATAGGGTGGAGCAGAGGGAGGCTGTGGGACGGTCGAGCAGGGATAGAAGTCGGGGAGGGCAGTGGGAGGAGAGGACCACGCGGGAGTAGTGGAGGTTAGAGTACATAGGTGGTAGTATTTTGGGGAAGAAGTTCGGGTCGGTTGGCCCCCTGAAAACCGCTGTTATCACACCCCTCCTCAAATAACCGACCCTCGATCCCTCTAATCTCTCACACAACCGTCCCATTTCCAACCTACCCTTCCTTGAAAAGTCCTGGAACGCATTGTTGCAGGTCAACTTCGGTCACACCTCACCCTCCACTCCCTCCTCAAGCCCCTGCAGTCTGGTTTTCACCCTGCTCACAGCACAGAGACAGCGCTTGTCAAAGTCACAAACGCCATTCTCTCTATCTGTGACCATGGCTGCCTCTGCCTCCTCATCCTCCTAGATCTCTCTGACGCGTTCGACACAGTTGACCACGCCATCCTCCTTCATTGCCTCTCCCTCATCCATCTTAATTGGCTGCAGTCGCATGGTTCGAGTCCTACTTAACTAACCGTCTCCATTTCATCTTGGCAAATGGTTTCTCCTCCCGCCCCCACCCGGTAACCTACGGGGTATCCCAGGGCTCCATCCTTGGCCCTCTTCTTTTTCTTGCCTATATGCTCCCTCTGGGCGATGTCATCCGCAGACAAAGGGTAAACTTCTGCATGCATGCGGATGATACAGAAATCTATTTTGCCTCCTCCTGTATCAACTCTTCCATTCCCTTCCTCGACTTCACCATTTTCATCTCGGGGTATAGATTGTCTACAGGTATCTTTTACAAGCCTACCAATTCCCACAGCTACCTGGACTACACTTCCTCCCAACCCACTTCCTGTAAAGACTCTATTTCCTTTTCCCAGTTCCTCTGTCTCCGTCGCATCTGCTCTGACGATGCCACCTTTCACACCAGAGCAACTGAAATGTTTTCCTTTTTCCTTGACCGAAGATTCCCATCCACTGTTGTAGGCAGGGTCCTTGCCCGTGTCCGCCCTATTTCCCGCACCTCTGCCCTCACCGCTTCCCCCTCTTCCCAGAACCTCCTAGTCCTCACCTTCCATCCCACCAGCCTCAACATCCAACAAATAATTCACTGCCATTTCCGGCACCTCCAGCATGATCCAACCACCAAACTTATCATTCCCTCCCCTCTCTTAGCATTCCGAAGGGACCGTTCCCTCCGTGACTCCCTGGTTCATTCCTCTATCACCACCAACAGTTACTCTCCTCCCCCCGGCACCTTCCCATGCCAGCGCAGGAGATGCAATACCTGGCCTTTCACCTCCTCCGATACCACTGTCCAGGGCCCCAAACACAGTTTTCAAGTGAGACAGTGATTTACTTGTACTGCCACCAATGTAGTTTACTGCATTCGCTGCTCACGATGTGGTCACTACATTGGGGAGACCAAACGCAGATTGGGTTGCTGAACACCTCCATTCTGCCCCCAAGTACATCCCTGAGCTTCTGGGTTCTTGCTATTTCAACTCTCCCTCCCACTCGCATTCTGACCTCTCCATCCACAGTCTCCTACGCCATTCCAATGAACCACAGCGCAAGCTCGAGGAACAACACCTCATTTATCTGCTAGGGACCTTACAGCCCTCTGGTCTTAATATTGATTTCAATAATTTCAGACCATAACAGCTCACATTCCCTCTCCCCCTCTTCTGTGACCATTACCACATTATCCGGGTCTCAGACACATCTTTTCTCTCTCTGGTCTGCCTGTTCTGATGCAATTTTCCTCCCCTTTGTTTTGCATCATTAACATCTCTTTAACTCATCTTCCCCTGCCCTCTACGCCATTTTCTCCTATGTTTTCCTTGCCCTGCCTTTCCCTTCTCTGTTGGTCCTTAAAAGCCTCCTCTACCTCCCAACATACCCCAGTTCTGATGAAGGGTCGTGGACCTGAAACATTGACTCACTTTCCTTTCTCCAGTCAAAGGTCATTTATCTTATTTGTTTTATTTAACCTTGGTGCGACTTCCATCAGACAAAAGCATGTTTAAAATGTTTTATTCTCTGGGGAAATTATGATAAAAGATAAGCAGCAGATAGTCTGTTTCAACATAAAGCAGTTGTTCAAGATGGCAGAAAAACAAACCTGTCAGATCCTATCTGTAGATCTGGTAGCCTTCCTGCTAGAAGTACTAGAAATAGTATTTGGTCTTATCAACAAACTGAGAATATGTTGAGTCACTTAGCTAGTAATTGGTACACAGAGATCCTAGTCTTCTTTGAGGGCTGCTGTGCACAATTGGCTGCCACATTTCACCCACAAATCCTGTGTAGTGCTTTGAAACATCCTTCTGACGTGATAAGGTACTATACCAAATGCAAGTATTATTATTGCCATAACCGTGACTGGTGAAAATATTACAGTGCCTAAATGATCATCCCTCAGTTGTTTGTGAAAACAAATAAGCTAAAACTATAAAAAATTGCCATAGATTTTCACTTCAGTATTACTGTGTGAACTGAAACGATTGTCAGTAAGGCTACCAATGTTTCCATATTTTTTTAAAAAAAGCTATGTGATCATTTTGGGGGCATGTTTATATACCTGTATTTACACATCTATATACTTGGCTAGGACTCATTAGTGGTGTAAGCATGTGGGTACAGTGGTAATAATTTCCTCTGCTTTTGTTTTGCCAATAATGTATTATTGGGCGAAATGTTGGGCAAGTTTCCTTACTCCACACTCCTCTGGTTACCTAGCAGTAAGTAGGAACCCCTTTGTTAGTCGATTGGCAGATCACTTTTCCAGCGGTAATAATTCCTTCAAAAAATCAATAAGAAAATTGTTTGTGGGACACTGCTGTGCGCAATTGGCTGCTGCGTTTCGCCCAGAAAATATAGTCAATTCACTTTACAGTGTATTCTGTGAAGCTCAGTGTTAATTCAATGTTAATTCTGCACCCTTATGCTAACACAAGGATTATTATTATTATTTGTTATCTTTGTAGCAATCTTTCTAGTTACTAGTGGAGTCCTGTAGCTCAGTGGTTAGAGCACTCGCTTTGCAAGCGAGAGACCTAAGTTCAATTCCAGGCAGAGCGAAACCTTGGGCAAGTTTCCTTACTCCACACAGAGCCTAATAATAATCCCTCCAAAACCAAAAACAATAATAAATTGGTCATTTTCAATCTACGACTGTTTGTGGGATGTTGCTGTGCGCAATTGGCTGCCGCATTCGCCCACAAATATACAGTCAATTCACTTTACAGTGTGTTCTGTGAAGCGCTTTGGGACGTCCTCCCGACGTGAAAAGCGCTATATCAAATGCAAGGATTATTATTATTATTACTAAGGAAAATATACGCCTCTCGGGGAATATTAAACACAAATGAACTGGTGTAAATTAAACCTCCATCTTGAATCTTTCAGTGCTCCTAGAATTTCAACCCCCACTAGTCCATACATATGAATATAGAACCTTGGTGTATGCTGAAAGCTTTACTGCAAAAAACAAGTTGTGGATCTTGCTTTGTAATTGTGGAAAAGAAAGCAAGAAATGGACAGCTGTGTTCACTGTAGATCAGTGTTTGGATATGAAAATTAGCTCCAGATATGTACCTTCTGCCAGCTTGATCATTGTAGTTGGGTTTACATTTTCTATGGAAAGAAAACAAGAATGAATGCAGTTCAAACAACAGTACCAGTATCCTCTTTTGCTAAAATGTATGCAAAGTTCTCCATAGTTACCTGAACTAAATAGACACTATCTACCAGAATATGAAAATGAGCATGTGGTATGCACATTGCAAAGAATGTACAGCATGGAAACATGCCATTCAGCCGAACCAGTCCGTGCCAGTGTTTATATTCCACAAGAATCAATTCATTTTTCGATGTGATTTTTTAAAAATGGATGTGCCTCCTGTTGTTTTCGAATGGATGCCTGAGGCACATCTCAGTTCACAGATTCTTCCCCATCCCCTATGTAGTTTAGGAAACAATTTGTTTGGTGGTTTGTAGGTTTAATGTCTAATTAGATTTAATGTCCATTTCAGTACATAGATTCTGCTCTATATTCTATTTAGCTTTGTAAACAATTTGTTTGGAGATTTGTTTAATATGTAACTTGCCGAAATTGTGTTTTCTCAGCTAACATTCAAAAGAAAGAATTCTGAATATGTTGGTATTATGCCAGCATTGTTAATTAACCCAGCCATTCCTGATGATTAAAAATATTAGGTAATTTGTACTGTAATGTTTATAAAATGTTTTGATGTCAGTAACTTGAAAATGGTTACTTTCAAACATAAAATAGAATTAAAAGCAGAAGTGAATCCTTGGACATGATCCGAATCAATGGGATGATCTTTACTGACCAGCAATATATATAATAAGGATTACGTTAGCGAGTAACCCAGGAAATTGCACTTTGCTTCTGATTTGCCTTTCCCATTACAGTCCAGGTCAAGACTTTTTCTTCCTGCACCATCATTGCTGTCGCCACACTCCAAGCTGAGGCTCCCAACGACAGTGAGTGCTCATGTGTTACCAAAGCAGTCGTTGACCTCACACACTGGTAAGTATCCTTCATAATTTGATTATAGTTCCAGGTCCTTCAGTTGCCTTTCTTTTTCATAAACTAAAGCTGATGGTACAGTTGCTGAATGTATATTCTATTCTATACATAAATAAATGTATATATTCAGTACTTTACGTACCTGAAAGTAGAAATATCCACAAAAGATGCAAATCCAAATGGAATGGAGTGTATATTATGTCTTTAAGAATAAAATTAAGTTTGCATTGTTGTAAGTTAAACATGTAATTTAGCATATTTCTAAATTATAAAGTGGTCTGTATTACTATTTAAAGTTTTTGATGTGAAAAATTATGTTTACAGCTATTTAAAGAATTTGGAGGGTAAAGATACATATTTTACATATAAAAATGCTACACCAATTATTTTAAATCCAACAGTGAACTGAGACCTGTTTAATTGACAAAAATACTTTGTTGTAGTTTGACTGCCTTTTAAAAGTCAATGGCTATTAACAGCTGATAATATAATAATAAATTATTGTTCATCAGTCACAAATGGTATAATGGATACAACAGATCTTCCACTAGTAGTTTAATTTTATATTGACCGAGGCACTTCTTTATACCTCAGGTGCACAATGCTCAAAATTAGGTGTTTTAGAACTAGCTTGTTGTAAGGCTTCATCTATTTCTGGTCACTTCATGAAGATTCTGCTTATTTACTGGTCGTATGGTTAAACAGGGAAGAATAGCTGTTTTAAAAATTAATGTATAACAATTTAAAATGTACAGCATGAGGCATTTTTTTAAAAAAAGCTTGTGGAAAGGAGATATGAAAGTTTTAAGAATCCGCGTGGTAAGAATCGCTAAATCTCTGTTAAGGAAATGGTTGAAATGAGGAACTAAGCACAGCAATGTCAAAATTTCCTTGGAAATATTGGTAATGAGACAGCAAAATGTTGAAAATTTAAAATATGCTTTTATTTCATTTTCAAAGTTCTTGTAAAAAAAAGTTGAGCATTTGAAATCTAGCAAAACTAGTACCTTCAGTGAAATCTAGAAAGTGCATCAGTATATTTTCCAGAAAGATTGATCAATTTTCAAATCATCCATGTTTGGTAATAGAATAATGGAGTTTTGATATCAGCCACCTCCTGCCCACAAGAATTTGGAGAGTAATCAAAATGCACTTAACTCATCATCCAGATTAACACACATACCAACATGGAGTGTGAATGCATGATATTCAGAACATGTTGTTGCTCAGGACATATCAAGATAACTGTTTGCAGTTGACATAGCTGAAATCTGAATGGTGATATTATTTTGTAACATACATTTTGCTTATGATTTAATTGAATACAGGATTACTTTGAATAGATGATCTCATTGCACTATATCTGTTCTGCTCACTTCCTGACTCTGGTTCCAGGAAATTGGAAAGGCAATTGGAATAGATTTAAGGTGATAGGCAAATAAAACATGGAGAATATTCAGGACACAGATCATCTACATTCTACTTTATACAGAGGCAAACTTAATCATCTCAAGTATAGTGATCCTTCTGCGTAGAAGGTGGAAGAATCGGTGGGAGATGTTGTATAGATTGTAGGCCTTAACGACCCAGTCTGCTGGGACGAAGTGGACTCTGCATTGCAATGCCTTGCTAATGGTAAAGCAGCAAATGCGAATGGTATCAATGTCAAGTGCCTAAAAACTGCACTGAAGGATCGGGTGGAGAACAATGAGGATCTTATAAATTGAAGCCAGGAACCGCTAACTCGCCATGTAGTCACCCTCCTTGAGCTGATCAACAGGACTTTCTCTGAGGCACAAACTCCACTCCGTTAGTGTTTCACAGGGCAATTGTGGTGTCTATCCACAAGAAGGGCCAAGACCTACAAAAGAACCTCACTAATTTCAGTAACTCTTTAGGTGGTGCTTCAGGTAGTCACTGCACATTTATTGGATACATTGGAGGCTCGTGGTTTGATTGGAAAGGAACAGACTGGGTTTGGTTCTTGTGAGGTGTGTATGGGGTAGGCTCTGGCTTTTCATGAAATCAAGGAATGTTGTAAAGCTCAGAGGATCGATTTCCACAGGGCTTCAAACTAGTGAAATCCTGATGGTGAAACCAGAAGCCAAGGGAATAAATACATGGCCAATTTTATCTGGGGGATTTTTGGCCAGGACACGATTTCACCTGAACAGGCAAACCTCAGTTTAAGGTCTCATCCAAAGAACAGCATCTACAACAACGCAGCATACCCTCAGCACTTGGAATGTCAGTGAAAGAGCTCCAAATTGCCGGTGTGATGCTTGAACCCACAATCTTCTTACTAAGAGGCACGAGTGCTACGAACTGAGCTAGGCTGACACCTGCACAATTGCATTTGATAACCAAATATTGCTGTCTACATCTAAATATTAAGAATGCAGGATTACTAAGACATATCCAAATGTTTTTCATTGAGATCAGCGAGAGACCTGAGTTCGATTCCTGGCAGGGCAAAACCTTGGGGAAGTTTCCTTACTCCACATGCCTGATAATAATTGTTCAAGAAAATAAAACAAAAAAATAATAATTTGTTCACTCAATCCACAACTGTTTGTGGGACACTGCTGTGCGTAATTGATTACTGCGTTTCTCTGTATTCTCTGAAGCGCTTTGAGATGTCTTGAAGACATGAAAAGCGCTATATCAAATCTAAGGATTATTATTATTTATTATTATTTGCTGCAACTTTCAAAAATAAGTTCAGCAAAAGTGAATATTCAATCACATACCACAGTATGTCCAAGGAGATTTATTGTTCAAGAACACAAATGTCAGAAAAATTGTATTCAGAAATTAGGCTGTTTTAAGAATTGGGGGCCAAGTTTGTTTCTCACAAATTCATTTTGGGTATCTTGGACTCACTGTGTTCTATGATCTTGAGCGGAATTCTCACATTTGCTTCGTTGTTAAAGACGTCTCCAGAGAGCGCAGTTTCCTCAGTTGTACAACACATTTATTTTGCCCTCAACTGTTAAATCTTTATAAAGCCCAATTTTGTAAAGATTTAAATACTGTTCCCATATCTGGGGCAGGTTGGGATTGTATGTTCAAACATTGCTTTATAATGAGGATCCACTTATCTTGAATACATGTTGTATTTGATATAACAAAAATATATTCCTTAGCTTTAATTGCTGCTGAGGAACCAGAATTTCTACAATTCAATTCTGTCCCACACATTTATTTAAAGTGAACCTTTAGTTCAAAACTTAAGGCAAAAATAGTGAGAATTATGAAGTCATCCCCCTTAGTCCGACAGACACACATTGCTATGCAAAATACAGTATATTTATTTATAGGGTGAAGTTTCCGCTAATATAAAACAGAATATACATAAGAAACCTTCTCATATTCTTTGTTCCCAGAGTCAATGCAAAACAATATCAGATCCAGTATAGATGCAGAATAGTTTGTTTCTTCCCCAAGCATCTTAACCTTAAAATCAGAATAGCACTTATTTTGGATTAGCGTAATAGTTTTAATTCCTCGCACCAGTTGTCTTACTATGGCATATTGCGTGGGGAGCTGTATGCATTAGAAGCTGAATTGAGATACTGGTATGTGATATCACTTGAAACTTTGTTAGTTATTGGGCTCCTATAACCCATTACATGAAACAGTTTGCAAATATTGCAGACTCCACCTCTAAAATTATTCCTTTAGTTGTCTACCAGAAAAGTCCTTCATAACCTTCATTATGCTGTTAAAAATTTTACTGTAGCTAACTAACTAGATTTGCTTTGATTATTCCCTGGAAAAAAAATAGCCGAATCTGAATACAACAATCTTGCCATATTGTACATTAATTTCAGCTATGATAATCTACCAAGTGACAAATGAGTTTTGTCATTTTCAAAAATAATGTATGCCATGTGTTCCTTGTCCCTTTAATTGCCTTCAAGTCACTTCCCCATTCATTCTATGTCAGAGCATCTTCTATGTAGCTATCTTCAGTTTCTTTTCTACTCATGGCTGCAATTACAGGCACATTATCATTTCAGTGAGTGAGACAGATTAATCGTTTCTGCAATGAATGCTGTGTTCTCTTATTTGTCTTTGATTCCCAAATACGATTAATTTTAATTTTACATAGTTGAGTTACCTTCATTGTTTTACTTTAACTTTACAAGTCTTAGCTCTAAACTCAGTTAACTGCAGAAAAGTCATCTTTGGCTGTCAGTAACCACACTAGTTTTCTTCATTGTCTGTCATGGAACCACAACTTCCCTTCATACAAGCCTCTGAAATAACCAAAGTAGATTTGTCATTGGGGGAAGTGTTGGCATAAGATTTTTGATGGCATCCATATATTTGATCAGTTATGGATTATACTGACCGTTTCACAAACATTAATAGAATTTGACAGCTGGAAGTACACTGTTAAATAAAGCTGTCTGCTCGCCCCACGTCGAGACTTCAAACTCACAGTCTAAGACACTGGTGGCCAACCTTTTGCTACGGTGTGCTACAGTCTGAGACCAAGACATATCGCCATGCCACTAAAAAACCTATAATAAAATTAAAAAGAAAAGAAATATATTACTGGAAAAGAAAGAACGCATTAAGACATTCACAATAAAATACCAAACAATTTACTTACTGAATTTGTTTTTTGTTCATGGTATCTTCAATGTTTAGATTCAGTTTTGAGCACGCCACTAGATGAGGATTATTAAGATGATCATTTGTTAGTTTGGAACCGTATTTATTGTTTATGAAGTTCATGGTGGAAAAGGACGGCTCACGGGTGGAGGTTAATCCGAATCTGCACACATATCAAGAGCATAATCATGCAATTTAGGAAAATTGGACCAATTTCTATAACTACTTCATGGCCTGACTTACTGGAGAAGCACACAGTTCTTTGAATGATTTTTAAGTTCCAAAATTTCCAACTGCATTTCTGGTGGATAATGTTCAATCTTAAATGGGCATCAAAGGAATTAGTTTGTGAAGAAATAGCGTTCTAATATTTTGCA